TTGTCATTCTGAATTCCTCTTTTATAGATGGTAAGCAGACCAGCTCCCACCCATTAACATATTTCTTTAGACAAGTTCAATATAAGCACTTACTCATGTATGTAACAATGAAAATCCAATCATGCTTCCCTGAAGTTCCACCCAAATCTCTGAATTTTGGGTGTTTACAATCTTGTGGGTTATTTCTAAAAGCTACTGATCTCATCCCACTACATTTAAATTTTTTTCTAATTTCAATTTTAAAAGGTAAATTACATTTATTTATAGTATCTTATTGTTGACCCAGCATACTCCTTATATGAATTTTTCACATACTCTTTGCAGATTATTTCTCAGTATTTCAGACAATTATCTTTCTTATTAGGCAGTGCAATTACAATCTAGTCAATATTATATAGTGTTAAGAGCCCTGAAGACAGAACTGTGTTCTTGGGAAAGTTATTTAACCTCAGTTTCCTTATCTATCTCAGAATGTTGTTTTGAAGATAAAATGAGGTATTATCAATGCACATAAACTGCTTAACATGATACCTGGTATATAGTAATTTTCCTATTACATTGTTAGTCTTAAGGCTAGAATTCTGTGAAGTTTTAAAAATTTTGGTTTTTCCCAAATATTTGTTGGCATTCTACCTACAAATCATCAAGGACCTAACATTTTGCTAGTGGAGGCAACCAATGATTAATTAAATAATATTTAATATAATACTGGGTTTAGAGCTAGAGTTATAAAGTGGCCTGAAGAAAAATAAAGCAGCGTAAGGAGATAAAGAGTAATGAGCATGGTAATTTAGATAGGGTGGTCAAGGAAGCCTTCCCTCAGGAGATGGCATTGGAACAGAGATCTGAATGAAACAAGGGAAGAAACGAAGTGACTGTCTCAATCGTCGGGTGAATGAGTGCTTGTTCTGGCTTGTTAGCTGCACCCTTTCTGTTCTTAGTCACACTTCTTTATATGGGTAGTGAACTATTTATATATCTATGACTTAGGATGCCAAACAGAACAATCCAGAAAGGAAGTGCCTGGGCTTCCCATGTCCTTTAAATATCCTTCAAATATTACACATTTCCCATTACTAACTTAGTACTTCTTGAATTGTCAGTTTTGTAAATGAACTTAGTATTAGAAGTCCTTCAAAGAGATACAGGCATTTTGGAAGACCCTATCAGAGGAAAGCAGCTCTGGTATGGAAGAAAGAATCTTGGAGTCAAGAGAACTGGGTTTGAATTCCAGCTCACCCATTGGCTGTGTGGACTTGCCTGTGTCCCCTAGTTTACTGAGTCTGTTTCTTTATCTATAAGATGGGGGTGATAATTTTTAATTCACATATTTGTTATAAAGGTCAAATGAATTAATTGATGTGAAAAATATGTGATATGTTATAAGAAATCAATAGTTGACTCTGAAAGCTTGGAATATCCTTAAAGATAATGGGCGGGGTTGGTTCTCTGCACAGAAGAATTCTTAAGCATATTACACTATACAAAAAGTAGAAATAATAAATTTATGTTAATATAATATTACATCATGGTAATTATAGTTACATTGAGTGCTTACTATATTCTAAGAACTATTCTAAATAAGTTACATGGATTAACTCATTTCTCACACTAACCATGCAAGATATGTACTGTTATTGTGCCTGTCTAACTGATGACAAAATGAAGCACAAAGAGACTAAATAATCTGCATGTGGTCACAGTAAAGGGGAGAATTGGGATTATGAACCAAGAAAATTTGACATTGGAGCTCATGCTCTCACATACTAAACTATATAATTGTAATTTAAAGGATTATTTATCCTGTTTGAAGCCATCATTTTAGGTCTTTCCTAAAGTAACATCACTGTAGAAAGTGACAATAACAATTTAAAAAATAGAGTATAAAGTATAACCAAGTTTAAAAAGAGAGTGAAAAAGGTTTTAAAAAAAGTGTTAACTAGAGGTTGGTTTAGATTATATCTAAAGTTAATACCCAAAATGAAAATATTAAGGATCATTTACTTTATTATGCGATTTCAGTCTCAAAACCTATTCATTTTAAGAAAAAACAGTTGCTTAGTACTAATCCAAGTCTAAGGAAGGCAACTAATTTAAACAGAATGTCTAAAATTCCAAGGCCTGTTTTTTTTTTTAAATCCTAGACAGTGTAGTAGTAATATTTTTATAGCAGATGTGATCAGTTTGAACCACAGTTGAACAATGCCCAGCAAAACAATGATTTTGATTATCTAGAAAACCTAAATAAAATTCCAATGACAAAATACATGATAAAAATGATGTGCTGTTTTTATTATGATGTGTTCTATTAAATTATTTAAAGTCTCTTTACCATGAGTTAGATCTATAAAGACTAGTGATATACCAGCTTCAGGATTATATTAGGTAGAGAAAAGATCATGACTATTTACAGATGCTAAATGATAACCAATCATTCCAGGCATTTATTTATTTATTTATTTTCCAGGATTTTAAATAATAGTTACCATGATACTATGCTGGGCCATTAATTATGTATTAACTAGATAACTCCAACAAGTAGAATAGTGTTTCAATACCATATCCCATTTCAAATATCTTTTTTATTACTCTTCCTTTAAGTACAAGCACAAATATGGTAGTAATGTAACAAATGTACTTTTTTGTGCATTAATAGATTAATAAAGAATAAAATATTTCGCCCATGAGCCATGGCCGCTGAGCCTGCGCGTCCAGAGCCTGTGCTCCACTACGGGAGAGGCTACAGCAGTCAGAGGCCTGCGTACCGCAAAAAAAAAAAAAAAAAAAAAAAGAATAAAATATTTCAGATTGGCAAAAGCAAAACAACCATATACACACATAGATAAAAACCTAATCACCAAGTCTTTGACATGGTAGAGTCTAATGGTAACATTAGGAAAAGACACATGAATGTGTCATAAAACACATGCAACAAAGCTCATAGAAAATGGAGAGAAATTAAGCTCCAAAGAGGAGTATATATATATATACTTCTACTATACATGTATAGTAGAAGTACTAGGATGATTGACAAAAGTGAGGTGTGTTTTGATCAAGAGAAAAGTTAAAATAATGGAAGCTATTATTAAAAGGAAGTTTTAAGAACATCACTGGTATTCAGTCCCACTGAAATCTCTTTAAATCTCTTTTGTTCTATTATCTAGCAGCATTGGGAAAATAATACATATATACTATCTCTTCAAAGAAGATAACAGGATACTACTTTTAAACAACAGAAAGTATCACTGAGGTCGACTATAATTACTTTGGATAGGTTAACTAAGAGTAGATAGTCTAAATAGAAACTCATTTATCCATTTATTTTATGTTTTCAGAATTCTTTCTACTTTAAACCTACTAGAGCTAAGTTGGTCAAAAGTTTTTATTAATCGTGTCTGACATCCAGGTAAACCAAAGCCTATGATCAGGCAATGGTTTTGAGTTATTACAGCCTCAATTATGTGTTAGCCAACTCAAGCGACCATTATGTAGTCAGTAATAGGTATGACACAGCTCTGGACATCAGCAACACTGTAAGCAGGCAGGCACAGGCAACCTGCTTATACTGATTTTTCTGGTGTTAACATTCTTAAGCAGCATGGAAAACAGTAATCGTATGTCTTCCTCATTAAAACCTTACAGTAGCACTCTACTAGATTTCTTTACCTCTGTTTTTTGTATTAATAACCATGCAGAATAACACTGTCTTGAGAAATGACAGCACAGCATCTTACAGGGAAAGGAAATATAGGATGCCACTGTAGGGATAAATTTCTAATTACCAGTGATTATTGTGAATATAACACTATTTTCCTGAACATTAAAGTCTCCATGGAGGGTAGGTACAGTTCAAAAAAAAAAATTGTCTTGAAACTTTAAAATTGCATTGGTGTACATGATAATGTAAGAAAGCACAAAAGAAAAAAATTAAACATTGTTTAAAAAAAAAAAACGGGAAGCCGCTGATCCTTAGGAAGGCACGAGGTTGACTATTCTGAAGCATTTAGGGAGTCCGATTCATTTTCAAAGCTGGTTACAATCATTAGCATAGCACACCCTTGTGAGGGAAGTGTATTATCATCTGTGGTTCATAAATGAAAAAGCTAGGGCACTGAATGATTAAGTCACTCGCCCAAGGAGAATGAGTCAACGTCGAGTCATAGTTGACCCGGCCTAACGACTCCTGACGGTCAATCCAGGGCTTAGTCAGCGGGGGCCGGAGTGGCTTCCCTGGCTGGCACCCGGACTTGGGCTAGTTCCGATCACGTTAAAGCAGAACAGTGGAAGCGAGAGGACCCAACTTGCAAATGATTTTTACTTCCACGCAAGCCTTAGCCTTGAGGTCTTAATCTCAGGAGTTGGAACAGGAAACGCTGTCGGGTGCACTCCCCCTCCCCCAACCTGTGGCAAGTGGGTACTGTGGGCAGCCCCGCCACCCCTTTTGGCAGTGATGGCCATGAGTGACCACCAGCGTTAGCGGAGCCGGGGGACCGGGGAGGGTTGCCTGCTTAAACGATTCTCCATCGCCGCCTCTTTTTGAAACTAAGAGAAAATGGTGTGCAGTCAAAAGAAAATTAAATGAACACACAGGCAACTTGTTCTAGGACCTCAACTAAGCAAACGAAGCCTTATTGTGCGTGCTGAACCTACGGTTCCCAACCTTTCGGGAAAGATGGGAGGACAGGGCGACAAAGGGTACAGCAGGCATGCCTGGCAGTAAGTGCGACAGCAGCTATCCAGGCGGAAGAGCAGAGGACTGAAAACCACCCTCCAGCACGCGTGTGTCCGCCGCGCCGAGAACCGCGCACGGTACCCATCGACCACGTGACCAGTCCTTTTTTTTTTTAAACTTCTTTGCCTAAAAGAAAAAAAAAAACGAAAACGAGAGAGAAAGACAGGAGAAAGACTCCACTTCCCAGAAGCCTCTCGTTAAACACGCCGCCGCAGTCTTGCGCAGGCGCCGCCAGGGCCAAACGGACACGTCCGTCACGTGAACAGAAGCCGGCCAATGCGGTTTGAATCTCATTTTTTTCCTCTCACCCCCCCCTTCAGGAGCGGTTGTGCGATCAGATCGATCTAAGATGGCGACTGTGGAACCGGTGAGTATTGCTTTTGGCCCCCACCCCCACAGGCCCGCACGCTCCATCTCCCTTCGGACTCGGGGACCCCGCGGGACCGCGTTCCCGGTGCGCACGCTACCCCTTGCCGCCCCCTCCCCCTCTTCGTGGGCCTGACCTCCCCGCGGACAACTGGGGGCGCCCCGGAGGTTGGCCGCGACGGCGTGTAGAGCCCACGTTCTGGTGGGGGCCCGAGAGCTCGCGGAGAGGTGTGGGGGAGGGGCGGCGCCTCAGGCGGAGCCGCGAGGGGGTTCGAGGGTGGAGGGCGACCTGGGCCCTGGGCTAGGTGTGTGGGAATTGTGTCTTCGGGATAGGAGGGCGCTGGGTCGTCTCCGAGCTGGCGCCCGGATCCGCAGGGAGGGTGGGCGGCGAACCGGCCTGGAATGAGATGGAGGGAGCCTTGGGGCAGCCTTTCCGTGTCTCCCTCCCTCGCTTTAGCCCAGGGGCTCGGGTGCGGAGCGCGCGCCGGAACTCCTTAGACTGGTGGGCCAGGGAGCCGGTGGGCGCGCGTTGCCCTAGGGTGAGTTGGGCGGGAGTGGTGCCGCGGGAGTGGTGCCGCGGCGTGCGCGGAGAAGCTTCGACCTCGCCTAGGGGAGCCGAGAGCGGCCAGCGCATGTTACGCCGGCGCGTCCAAGAGTCGCCGGGGTGGGCTGCAGGGGAGGCGAGAAGGGTTTGGAGTGGGAAGGAGAACCCCGTGTCACAGGGTAAAGCTCTGCGAGTAGGATGAAGGGTGGTGGTGGTGGTTAGCCGGGGGATCACATTGTCCTCGCCCCTCCATGCTGGAGGCTGGGCTGTCATGGAGGAGGGGGAAGGGGGAGGAGCGAGGCCTACGGATAGCTGCTGCTGGTCTGGTTGCCGGCCGGACCTGCTGCATTTCACACGCGCCCGTCTCCCATTCATTCATCGTTTCCGCGCAGTGCTCACGCCTCAGAGAATGCGAGTGGGTGTAGATCCGTCTGTTCTTCCGAGTCTGTCTTTTTCGTCTGGAAGGTTCCTCAGGCACAGATTATTGGAAATAGGAACTTAACTTTTAAAGTTACTTTTCCATTTGATTTTCTCTTTATCCGTTCTACTGGTTTCTCTCCCAGTTTGGGCACCATCTTAAACTTCTTTCAAGCAAGCTGATCCCAGAGCACCAAGTTGATTGATAACCGTCCAAAGGAGGGAGTATCTTTGTCATAGTTTGGGTTTGCCGGCAGTGGCTCACTGAAACTTCTAGGTCTGTGTTGCCGTTTCAGGAATGTTGCATCTAAGTGATATTTTAGAGGCATAATACATTAACCAGAAAACCTTTGATACCCTGGAACCAGTTCTGGACCTTGGTTGCCGGATATTTTCATATATCTTTAATGGTAGTTTGTGATTTTGATAATGGCTTCCCAATTTGCTTTGACTTTTTAAAGACTTTTATAACTATTAAAAAATTAGTTATGAAAAGGTCTATAGAATACAAAAATGCTTATTTTTCATTACATTGACTTAAACACTATCCTTACCTTGTTGCCAGAACTTAAGGCACATTTCCTGCTTGGTTACTTATTCTTTTATTGGTACCAGTGTTTATTTACATTCCTGGAAATTAGGTTGACTACAGAACTTTATTAAGTTGCTGATACAGTTAAATGATTTTTAGAACATTAATGTTAAATAGATAAAAGATAAATATGTAAAACTTGAACTTAAAACCCTTTTATGGGCTCTGATACTACTTCTGACTGGATCAACTCCTACCGACCGTACCAGCGTCAGTAAAAGCATTACAGCTGGTAATAAGGGCAAGGCTAAAACCTCTAAACAATAAAACAATGTAGTCTGTGAAGTTTCAGTAACATTTAGGGCCTTTGGGTTTTGCAGGCTATGCTGTTTTGTTTCGACAACATGGAACAAAACTAAAAAGTGTTGAAGGACTGTTTTGAGTCAGTAAATATTTATAGCTCCTGATACATTTAGGACCTTGTACCAAGTGTTCTTTAGGATACAGAGTTATACAAAATGTGATTCTATACCTTGTTCAGTGTAAATTTTAGGAACTTAATTTCCAGTGATCTGGTCAATGATGCAGTATAGCATTCCTTCTAGTGCTGACCCCAGGGAGATTTCAATGCTGCATTTAAATTTGGGGAGTAGGGAACGTAAAAACTTAGTGTGTGAAAGTCAAAAGCCAGATTGAAGCTATAATAGAGTGAGGATGCATGTAAAATAATCTTGTGTTTATTTTTAGTGAAAAATGCAAGTTTAAAGTACTTTTAATGCACCTTTGTCCACAGGTTAGTCATTTAGAATTCTTTTTGACAATTTTAAATAGTGGTATATATATATTTTTTAAGCAGCTGATTAGTATTTGCTGCAATTGAGGTATCCATGTAAAAGCCTACAAAAAGCATATTTGTTCATTGCTATTTCAGCTAGCTTGTGAGTTTCCTTATTTTTTGCTGAGCATAATCAGAAGCACCTAGAGTCATGGGTTTTTTCTGCTTGTCCCACCTTTGAAGGCATTCAGGGAATTTTTATTTATGGAAATTAAGTAAAATATCAGTCATTTTCAGTTTGATATTGTGCGCTTCTCAAGTGTGTGTGTATAAGATCATTTAGATTAAGAAATGGCTTACATGGAATCTAAAAAAATTATACAAGTGAACTTATTTACAAAACAGGAATAGATTCACAGACATAGAAAACAAATTTATGGTTACCAAAGGGGAAAGGGAGGAGGAAGGGATAAATTAGGAGTTTGGGATTAACAGATACACACTGTATAAAATAGATAAACAACAGGGACCTACTATAGAGCACAGGGAGCTATATTAAGTATCTTATAATAACCTATAATGGAAAAGAATCTGAAAAAATATATATGTACATATATACACACGTGTGTGTGTGTGTATATATATATATATATAACTGAATTACTTTGCTAATACACCTGAAACTAACACAACATTGTAAATCAACTATACTTCCAAAAAAAACAAAAAACCCCACAACAAAATACACACAGACACATAAAAGAAGTGGCTTACAAATATTAAACTTGTTGACGAGCTTGATAGGTATATTAAAGGCAGCATTTTACCTCTTAACAGGTAATATGGCAAAGTTTTGAACATTGGGATAAACAATACTCTCCTATTCTGTTGGCATTTAAATTGTGGTTAGGTCAAAATTAGACTTTGTGGGTAGATCAAAGTTAGACTTAATACCAGTTGGCGAAGGTGGCAGGCCATCTTACCTCCAGTGGGTCGTGGGTTTTGGCAGCTTTTATCTTCATTCTTCATTCTTCATTATTGGGGTTTTATTGACTTGTAGTTCTTTTAAAGGTAAGAGATTTTGGTTTATTTAGTTAAACTGAAGGTATATAATTTTACTTGTTTTTACATTGTATCTCTTGAATTTTTTAAACTGTACATTAGTTTCATAAATGGAATCAACTTGGACAATCAGCTGATCTAATGTTTCCTTTTTTTATCCTTTAGAAACACGTTTTGTATTGCAAAGAGTTTATTAAAAGTAAATAAGTCTTAAATACGTGTTGACAAATATGTTGTTATATAATGCCATGTATTTTTGCTAACCAAAGACTATTGATTAACAAGCAGACCTTGCAAATTAATATGCATATTTTTGCTTTAAGAAAGAACCCAGGGGCTTCCCCGGTGGTGCAGTGGTTGAGAGTCCGCCTGCCGATGCAGGGGACGCAGGTTCGTGCCCCGGTCTGGGAGGATCCCACATGCCACGGAGCGGCTGGGCCCGTGAGCCATGGCCGGTGGGCCTGAGCTTCCAGAGCCTGTGCTCCGCAGCGGGAGAGGCCACAAAAGTGAGAGGCCCACGTAGTGCAAAAAAAAAAGAAAGAACCCAGTATATCAAAGTTCATTCATAAACCAAACAAATTTAGTTCTGGTGTTTATATTTTAGATTTCACTTTGTTTTTTACTCTGAATTAAAATTATGCCTAATTATTTGACTTAGAGAAGTCCAGTTTAGAAATAGACATAGTTTTACACACCAAAGTTGCAGAGAATAAAATGTTTAATGAATTATGTAACCTTAATCCAATTTGGACAGAAAATTCTATGCAAAATTTTTTTTAAAGTATTCTATTTAATTTATATAAGGTTAAGAATATAGGAGAAGTACCAGCAGTCCTGGATGTAACAAGCAACCTGTGAAGTACTTGTTCTAGCAATGGTAATTTCTTCTATTACTTCTCTGCTACTATTAGAAACTTCCTTGCTCCTCTGGTACCTCTGAGTTGCTCCATTTTTGTCATAGAGAGTTTTTTGAGAAGTGGAAACGAGCCAGAATTATAGTCTAATTTTAATATCTGTGTGACCTTGAAGATGGAAATTTCTAAGTCTGGCTGAAAAATGGGAATAAGATATAGTGATTTTGATTTTCAAATGCACTATTCAGGGATGAAAATTTATCAGTTATGAAGAACTAGATAGAGGACTTCCCTGGTGGCGCAGTGGTTAAGAATCCGCCTGCCAATGCAGGGGACATGGGTTCGAGCCCTGGTCTGGAAAGATTCCACATGCCGCGGAGGAACTAAGCCTGTGCGCCACAACTGCTGAGCCTGCACTCTAGAGCCTGTGAGCCACAACTACTGAAGCCCACATGCCACGACTACTGAAGCCCGCGTGCCACGACTACTGAAGGCCGTGCACCTAGAGACCATGCTCTGCAACAAGAGAAGCCGCCTCAATGAGAAGCCAGTGCACCACAATGAAGAGTAGCCCCGCTCACAGCAGTGAAGACCCAACACAGCCAAAAATAAATAAATTTATTTTTAAAAAAAGAACTAGATAAAGTTAATATTCCATAGGTGTGCTGCATGTAGGTGTATCCATGCAAAGTTGTACTCACTTTTTCCTCTCTTTGCTAGGAGATTTACATAGCTGACTTTATCATTTCTTTGCCATTATTAAGAAATACAAGGCTTATGACCCATAACCCACAGATAGTCTTCCTGCTCCTTACTG